CTGTGGGGAGGTTTTTTCCAGCCTCTCTTGCAGCTTCCCCCCATCACCGATTCTGGTACTGCCCTCTGGGACCAAACCTAGTCAGTCCAAGCCCCCTTCCATGTGACAGCCCCTCAAAGACTTGAACACAGCTCTCATGTACCACCCAGTCTTCCTTAAACCCATCCCCTTCACTATCCCGATGGCCCTCTGGTCTGGACACTGTCTAGCTGCTCCTCCTCTTTTCCTAAACTGTCTTTTCCAGAGCCGAACTACACTGCTCGAGACTCGGGTCTGCTGAGGACAGAAGACTCTTGCCTTCCTATTCCTAGAAGCCATCTCTTTTAATGCAAACCTAGATCCCACTGGTGTTTATGGCTAGGACATGGGTACTTTGCCCCAGTGTCAAAATTTAGGGAGTACGGCTGCATAGCAACAACTAAGAGGTCATACTAAGTCCTCAAAACTTTTTTTAACTAGGACCTGTGATTTCATCCCTGTAGACAATTTCTGATGTGGAACACAGCTTATGTGTAACTAACAGCCTAAGAGACTCTCAGGAGCACTGGAAAGTTAAATGATTTGCCAGTGGTCACAGAGCTAGCAAGTGTTGGAATCAGGACTTGAGCCCAGATCTCCCAGGCCCTAAGCCCAAAATTCTGTCCACTCCACCCACCTATCTGTTGTTTTCAAGAATAATTATTAGTGAATTACCAGCTTCCAGGTGGCCCACTATTTCTGCACCCCCAAATGATCATCTCTGGACTGTCCCTGCTTAACTGTATGGAGGTGATCTCACAGGGTTCTCTCTCTGCTGGGCAAAATCTTACCTCAAACCCGTAGGGAGCCTGGAAGCCATGATGCAGGAGGAGAGGCTCCCCATGCACATATCTCACCCACCTGCACATGTTTCTCTCTACCATAGGCTCTTAACCTGGTGTCCATGAACTTAAAAAAATTTTTTTGATAACTATATTTCAGTGTAATTGGTTTCCTTTCTAATATCATACTTTTTATTTTGTATGCATTTTAAAACCTTATTCTGAGAAGAGGTCCATACACTACCATATGGCCAAAGGGGTCTGCGACAAAAAAGTCTGCTCTATGCCATTTGCTGGCTAACCAATTTGGCATTCCTCAGCAAGTGAACTCCATGGAGGAAAATATCCTGTATGTACAAGTACACTTACAGCAGGTTTTTTTGTTTGTTTGTTTTGTTTTGGTTTTTTTAGTGGTCACAGACTGAAAGCTAAGGAGGCAGGGTGCCCATCCACTGTGGAATGGCTGAACAAATTAGGGGATATGAATGTAATGGAATACTATTGTGCCATAAGAAATGATGAAAGAGATGGTTTCAGAGACATCTGGGAAGAGTTGCATGAACTAATGCACAGTGAAATGAGCAGACAAGGAGAACAATTTAAACTATGTCAACATTGTAAAAATGAACAGTTTTGAAAGACTAAGTGATCTACCATGATTCTAGAGGACGTATGATGCAGCAGGCTACCCACCTCCTGACAGAGTGATGATGGGCTTACAATGTAGAATGAGACACACATGTTTGGACACAGACAATATAGGGAATCTGTCTTGCTTGAATGAATATTTGTTACAAGGGCTTTCTTTATCTTTTCGGGGGATTGGGGAGAAAATAAAATTCAATGAAAAATAAAAGCCTAATCACCATGACATGAGAGACTGTGAAATGGACTAAGGAGTGGGATGTTTCTTCTTCCATGAGGAAGGGAATAGCACCTGCCAAAGAAACATCTGGACACAATCATCAAAAGTCAAGGGATGGTAGGTGGAAACCTTTCGACACAGCGCCACCCAGTGCCTACTGCAAAGAAATCAAATTGGAAGCCAGCTATTTACTCCTGGGCAGGCTGTGACTTCGATCAGTATTTAGTATGAGGGCCAAAGGTACCAGGCACTGTGCTAGGCACTGGGGATTTAAAAGCAAAACAGTAGACTCCTAGACCGTCAGAGCTGGAAGGGAGCTTAGCAATTCCTGAAATGATGGGCTGAATGAATGAATGAGAAAATGAATGAATGAATGAATGAATGAATGAATGCAAAAACTTCTATTAAGCACTTACTATGTTCCAAGCATTGTGCTTTGGAGATATAGAAAAGCAGGACAAATCCTTGCTTTTGTTCTAATTAAGGGAGACAACATATGGAGGGGATTTCAGCAGCAGGGCACATGGAAAGGCCCAATGCTCCTTAGGGTGCAATGGCAAAGCAGATGGTAATAATCTTCTTGAGTGTCATTTCCACTGATAAAACCACCTCCATTGATGATGCTAAGCTTTTGACTAAGGATTTGATGTCGAACCTTCTTTAATGATGATGGTGGCAGGGAGTGTCTCTCCACAGGTGATCACACCCTTAGATGGTGATTGGGATGTATTCGCATGTGTATGGATATGCGTATGTGTATTTGTATGTGTATCTGCATTTGCATTTGCATTTGCATTTATGTGTGTGTGTTCATATGTGTGCTCTAAAAGTAGGACTAGCAACTTTCCTGCAAGTGACCCTTGAGTGCAGGGTCAGGACCCTTACTCCACCTGGATCTGAGGAAAAGTTGTAGTCATCCTGGTCTGAGGGGGTTTCACTCTCCTGGCACATACCAAGAGATTTTGTAGCTGTGGAGGCTGACCTCGACCTCCTCCCCCATCAAGAAACAGGTCATTTGATGGCTTCACATTTTAACTAATACTAACAAGAATAACTAAGTGCTAGAGAGGCAGCATAGCTTAGTGGTCAGAGCACTGGCCTTACAATCAACAAGACCTGAGTTCAAATACTGTTTCTGAAACAGTGATTCACTTCCCAACATTGTAAATTATAAGGTCAGTTTTAAAAGCCTGATTTTAATGGAGGTGGGAATGAGGATGGAAAGTGAAATGGTAGTCTAACAAATAGGCAAATGCTTTAGGTAAAAGGGCTTTCAGTGAAGTCCCCAAATTATTAATCTGTAAGGCCAGATCTAGAAGAGTCCTGGGTACCTGTCTCCCCTTTAGCAGTCTGGCGAAGCCTATGGTGGATCCTGTCACAGAATAATGTTGTTAAATGGATAAAATAAAACATGTGATTACAGAAGAAACCAATGACACCAAAGAACAGTTGTCAAAATATTAAAAAAAACCCCAACAAGGTCATGGACTGTAGGTTAAGAGCCACTGATTCTAGTCCAACTCATTCATTTTTAAAGAGGAGAAAGCTGAGGGGGAAGTGACTTACCCAAGGCTACAAAGAAAAGCTTATTTAACCCTTATGGAAACTGAGCCCAATTTTCATCAACTCAACACAGACTGTTAAGAGTCAGAAGGGGCCTCAGACAGGACCTTGTCAAATCCCTTGGTTTCCAGAGGGTACCTATCAGAGAAGAGACTAGAACAAAGTCTCTCCCCTCCCACCCAGTCCCAGGTTCTTTCAGCCAGGTGGCTGATATTCAGTGCCACCCCTCCCTCCTCCATCCCCATCCCCATCCCCACCCCCACCCCCACCTCCCAGGCTTTCTAGAGCAGCAATCTCATGACTGGGGACCCACAGCTGAGCAGGAAGGGGAAAACAGGACATGCTGCCACATGGAACATAAGGACCACTCCTGTTGGCACTGAGGAGGGTCATGACTGGCAACCATGATCCCCACCCTGCTCCTTTCTCCCCTTTGATAGAATGGGAGCTAGAGTGGGAGCAAGCTCCTTCTTGCCCTCACTCTCCCCAATCTTGTCTCCCACTCTGCCCCACTCCCCTGCCCCCTCTTCCTTGCAGGAAGGAGTACAAGTGGTCTGATCTGGCCTCTGATCTTTAACTCCTTCAGGGCAGGGATCCAGGAGGTCTTCAGTCCAGTTCCACGATTCAGGGGATGCTGAGCACAGGGCTTACCAAATACTCGGTGAATTAACTGAACTGAATTGAATGTCACTGTCCTTAAGCCGCCTCACCAAATTGGATCTAGGCAAAGTCCGCTGGACCTCAGATGCAGAATCCCCAATAAAATGACATCTTTGTGTCAACTGTGCAATACGTGCAGTGCTCCACGGATGACTGTACGCAGGTATCTTTTTTCTAGGGATCTTGAAACCTCAGTGCTTCAACAGGGAACACAGCACTGCCAGAGTCCTCCTATTAAAACTGCCTGTGAGATGAGAGACTGCAGATGCTGAATGTGCTGTTCGGGTGTTCGGGGCGGGGGGGGGCTTCTGGATCCGTAGTGGTGGTTTAAATATTTTTCATACAAGGATGGGTGCAGGAAGGGAGGAGTACTGACGAGAGAATAAAAGGCAACAATGACATTTTCTAAAACAGTGCCCGACATCCCTGGATTTCGGGTTTAGAGATGGAGCGTCAGAGGTCATCTGCTCCAGAACTGTGAGATGATTTGCTCCACGAGTAAAAAGCAGCAGAACACTGGGAATTAGGACCCAGGTATTGTGACTCCAGACCAACAGTTTTTGGCAAATAAGACTACTTTGTCTTATTTGCATGTCCTTTTATATGACAAAATTTACAAAAAGTTTAAAAAATCTTCCCAAACTATTTACTCACTTACCCCCTAAGTCCCCAAATCTTACTCTACTTCCTCTGGTGAACACTTCTTTGCAGCCCTGGTTGTCCCTTTGGGGTCCAATCAATTCAGGTAAGCCCAGCCGGGAAAGGCTTTGGGCTGCCTTCAGTGCCCAGCCTCTACCCTAGCATGGGCACTAGGACCCGAAAGTGGCAGCACTTCCTAGATCTCAATCAGCTTGAAGCCACTCTGAGAAGTGATCATGATGACAAATACCTGTTGTCTCTCTACTCCACCCCCCACCCCACCCCCATGCTTCCCATCCCCTCCCCCCTCCCCCCATGTAAGCTTCTTCAGGTCAAGAGACTATTTTTTTCTTCTTTTCTTTGTATTCTTCGCACTTAGCTCAATGCCTGGTACCCAAAACATGCTTGTTGAATTGAGCTGATCTGTTCCTTTCCTAGAGTTACCACAGTGATCCTTATATTGTCAAGGGTGGTCTTTTGAAACTGAGAGTCTTGCTCCCCAGCCCCTCAGCTGGACTTGCCACAAGTAGAGAGGAAGCTCACATCCTTTCACTCTTCCCAATTGCTTTCTTGACAATTCTCGAGACCTCAGGGCACAACCTTCCTTCTGGCAGCCCCTGAAAGTTGGGCAGAAGCCCAGGGCAATGTCAGGATAAGGAAACTGAAGCTGTGGATAGAATGGGGTGAGATGCTTCTGTGACCCAAGGGATGCTGTGTAGCTTTGTTGATAGCAGAAAGATAACATGGATGTCAGTTCCATTCTTCCCTGGAGCCCTCCTCTCGTGGCAATGGGCCTGGGTTCTTGCAGGTTCTTCCAACATCCTACCAAGCTGGGGCCTGTCACTGAAGAACCATTCTAGCTACGTGGCGAGAGGCCCATTGCCAGGTTGGCAGCAGTGTGATTGACTGTTTTGGCTAGAGGAAATCTTAAAGACTATCTACTGAGGCCAGGGGAGAGCACCCACAGTGATGACTGAAGTGACATATTGAAGCTAATACCATATGATAAGGAATCTGATAATCTACTTGCTGGGGACTTCTCTCATCTCCTAACTGAATAACTGCTCTTGGTTCTCTAGGCCTAGAAGAAGCAAACAGGCCCAGAGGTGAGTTATTGGCCTATTGTAGACCCAGGCTGTAAGAACACAGTCCCAACACTCTCTGGGATGCCTCTGGGCTACTCAGTCACTCTCCTCCACCCTGGGGCAGTTGTTTTCCTGCAAGAAATCATGGATAGCAGTGGTAAGTCCCCAGGTCACACAGCAGCGCAGGGTGACCAAAGAGCCACCTCGGTAGATCAGAAGCAGCTTTCGTCCCCTGTCCTCCCAAACAGCCTGAGCGCAAGCCCACAGGCCTGGTGCTTCCTGCCAACCTACCTGTGACTGCATGTTGGCAACGAGGACACTGAGTGGGTAAAGCAGGAGACATGTGAGGGTCCCGTTGACACTGCCAGACACTAGAGCTGGGACCCAGCAGGGCAAACCTTGTTCTGTCAGGCCGTCTCGGATGGGATCTTTGAAAGAGAAGTAGAGAGCACTTCCCAGACTGTTTCTCAGGAGGACCGGAAAGAAGCCCCGATAGTAGCCCATGGCCAGCCGTTCCCATAAGCCGTATGAGTTGAATTCCCGTAGAATGCTGGAGGTGCTGGGGAATCGGGCATCCTTCCGTCCATCTTGAAGCACGTTCTGCACTCGTTCAAAGGGGGTCAGCACTACAGCTTCCACGGCTCCTGACAGGAACCCGGCCACCAGCGCTGCCATAACCTGGAGGGGCCAGTAGGAGAGAGAGCTTGGAGTAGGTTGTCATGGGTGCCGAAGAGCAGGGTCCCCTGCAGGGTCTTGGCCAGAAGGGGAGGGTAGATTCCCCGGTAGAAGCGGCGAAGGCCCTCCTGGTGCAGTTGATTGACAGCCTGTGGTACAGACACGGCATGGATCTGCTGGCGGAACACAACCTTGTAGATGGGAAAGGTCACAAATGTAGACAGGAAGCTGGAAATGGCCCCAAGGGTATAGCTTCGAGAGTGCCAGTGGTGGTCTTCTGGGCTCTTTTCTCTTTTTACTTCTGGTTCTTCATGGGGATCCTTAGGCTGCTCCCCCATGCTGTTAACGACAGGCTTGGGCTGGAAATAACTGGCAAAGAGGGGAAAAGAAGCTTAAGTTCAATTGACTGTTAAATGGTTTTGCTTTTTGTTGCAAATGGAGCTGCTGCACTTTAAGAATTCTGAGTCTCTGGGATTTTTCACTTGAGAACGCAAGAAACCATAAGCATTATAGGCAAAGAAAGTCGTGTTCTAATAAGATGCCAGCTTTTATAGAATTGTGGACCTTCATCTTTGTCCTTGCCTTTTCTTTTCTAATTTCAAATAAGTATAGGAACTCTTGAGTTTCTACAAAGAAACTAAAGCCTGGGAGAGGAAAAGGAAGGCTTTGTCTCTGCCAGCTTCCCTGGGCGCAATTTTTGCCACAGGGAACTGGGCCTAATGAGCTTCATTTTCTGAGCTGACATTTATAACAGTTTCTCTTTCCTTCTCTTGTGACTCGGTTCCCCAGGGGCCAAAATGCATATTACTCTCACCTCTGGTCCTCAGCGCACTCCGCTCAAGGGAAGGGGAGGAAATAAGCGTTTCTATAGCGCCCACTGCGTGCCAAGCACCTTTTACAAAGATCACCTGCCTTGATTCTCCTTCAGACGCAGGGTTTCCACCGCGCCCTCTAGCTGCCATACAAACTGCAATGCTCTCATTGTCTTACACACAAACCTTTCTTTATTACATCATCCCTGTCACTGAAGACTTTGGGCCCGCCCCTCAAATCATTAAGGCCCCTCCGCTGCTCTTCAAATGCGGCCTCTTAATTAGCGAGCTTGCCACATCTCAGGCCTTCAGACTGGAAGGCACCAGCCATCACACATCAGCTTGATTATAATGATTGTTCTGTCTCACTTACGATAAGCCACTCTTGTATCCTCTGTGGAGATAGCTGCTTAGGACTCTTAACATGTACTATTTTCTTTCAACAGCTTTCAATCAAAAGCCTAACATGCCCCTGAGCCCGGGTGAAAAAAAGCCAGAGAGACCCCTAGGGGTCCATGTATCAGGGTTGTGAGCAGGATTTTGTACTAATGGGCTCCCCAGACTATAGTCCCATGTTCTAATAACAGAAACAAAGGATAGGAAGATACCTCTGGTACAGGGAAAAGAGCATTAAATTCAGAGTCAGAAGACCTAGATTCAAATCTAGTGCTACTACTTGCAACTCGTGAACCTTGAACAAATAATTTCACCTCTCTGAACCTCAGTTTCTCATCTGTAAAATGAGACAGCTGGATTGCAGCTTGAAATCCATGAACCTACATCCTATTCCCAGTACCATCATCAACTGAAAAAGATAAGCAGTCCAACCTCATCCACTCCATCTCAAAGAGGACCCCAAAGGGGAAGGCAGGAAGCCATCACATCTGCTAAGGGCTGCCAGCAGGCCTCCCATAACTTCCAACCACGAGGAGTCAAGAACAATAGGTCTCCCAGTCTAGGGTTTGCTTAAAGCTCCCCCCCCCACTCCCCAAGAAAAGACATCCTCAGCTGCTTCCCTTGGGAAATGCACAAGGGCCACGCCCCTGCAGTTTTCCAGACAAAGGCAGGAAAGCCTGTTAGCAATGGCCAACTCACCTTCAATGGAAGAACAGGGCAGGGCAGTCAACTCCCGATCACCCTACCTACCTCCTCATTGTGCCCCCCACCCTCGTTTTAGGAAGAGAAGCCCCTCCTTTAGGGTTAGGGAACCCAGGACCAGCTAAGGGGGGCTCCGTAAACAGTTCCACACCAGACAAAGGGAAAAGCAGAGGCTCTTTGTACGTGGGAGCCACGGAGCGACAGTCTGAGGCGACAGTCTCTGTGGTTTGGCTTTTAGCTCCCTCCCCTCAAGCTAGTGCAGATTGGGGGCGGGGGAGGAAGGAGTATAGAAAGAGGACTCTTTTCAGAAAAGCGATTCTGGGGAACTGCCTCCCCAATCTCTGCTAGCTTTTAGGGTGAGGGAGATGAAAGATGGGGGAGGCCGGGTGCGAATGAGAGTAATTGGGATGATGAAGATGATGGAGATGGGTGGAGGTGAAGATGGCGGAGTAGCGATGGTGACGGTGACGGGGGCGGAGGGGGGATGGAGCTGGCAGAGCGAGGATGGAGACTGCAGAGAGGGTGGGGGATGGGTAATGGGGATAACTGGGTGGAGATGAGAGAATAGCAGGGGAAATCGGGATGTGCTAGATGAGGATGGTTAGGTGGGGGGTGACGGTGGGATGGAGAAGACGGGGGTGGGGATAGGTGGGGGTGGGGAATGGCGGAGGTAGGCATAGGCGGGGGTGGGGAATGGCGGAGGTAGGCATAGGCGGGGGGGAGAAAAGGACGATGTGGGGGTGGAGATAGAGGAGGTGGGGTGAGGATCGGTAGGGGTGAGGGATGGGGGGGTGAGGATAGGCGGTTGGGGGTGGAATGGCGATGTGGGGGTGGGGATGGAGGAGGTGGGGTGCGGATAGGCGGAGGTAAGGACTGGCGAAGTGGGGATGGAGATGGCGGGGGTGGGGATAGGGAGGGGCGGGGTGAGAGGATGGGGATGGAGATGGAGGGGCAGGAGATGGAAATGGCGGAGTAGGGATGGGGGTGTCGAGGTGAGGGGGGATGGGAATGAGGATGGAGATGATTGGGCTGAGATGAGGATATGAGAAGGGAGGGTGGGGCGGGGGATGCCGAGTGGGGATAAGGATAATGGGGATATGTCGAGGATGGGTGTGGTGGTGGGGATAAGGATAAAGGGGATTTTGAGGGATGCAGATGGTCGCTTGGGGATGGTTGCGTGGGGACGGGGATAAAGGAGATAAGGCAGGGATGGGAATGGGGATGGGGATGCGGAGTTGAGTGGGGATAGGGATAATGGGTTAAGGGGATGAGGATGGTCGGGTGGGGATGGAGATAATGGGCATATGGAGAACTGGGGATGGAGGATGAGGATGGTCAGGTGGGAATCGATTTAACGGGGATAGAGGGATGAGAATGGTCGGGTGGGGATGGGGGGATAAGGATGGTCAGGTGGGGGGGGATAGAGATAATGGGGACAGAGGGATGAGGATGGTGGGGGGGGCGGGTGAAAGAGCCAGCGCCACAAGCCTCAAGCCCGGGATGGGGGGGCGCGGCTGTTCTTACCTTGACCTGGAGCTGCCCCTTACGCCTGCTGTCCCCGCCGCGGCCGCCCGGAGGGAGAACGGGAGCGGGAGAGCTCTCCTCCCGTCCGTCCGTCCTTCCAGGCGGCCACGGCGGGCCCTCCCTCCACCACGTCTCCGACTCCGCTTCTCAGGCGTTCTGGACCAAGTACCCTAGGCAGGGGGCGGGGAAGGGGGGAGGCCTTAGAGTCCGCCTCCGCTCCCCTCCTCGCTCTCCCATTGGCTTACCGGTCAGCCCGTCATGTTCTTTGTCTTGCCAAGGCAGCGCCCTGATCCGCAGTTAGGGTGGGCGCGGCGGCCGTCAGCAATGCGGCGACAATCAGCAATGCGGCGGCAGTCAGCAATGCGGCGGCAGTCAGCAATGCGGCGGCAGTCAGCAATGCGGCGGCAGTCAGCAATGCGGCGGCAGTCAGCAATGCGGAGGCTGCAGCCAAAAGCCAGCTAGGAGTCCATCGGTCTCGCAGTCAATCAATCAATCAGTCATTCAAGTACCTCAGGCACAGGGGCTCGGAAGGGAGCTATCCCTGCCCAGGGAGCTATCCCCTGCCACGGTACCTGGCCCTGGCCTTTGTGTCCAGGCTCCCCAAAGCGCCCACTGCTGTCCAGGATCATTTAACTGAGCCTGTCCGCAGCCCCCACTGCCCCACCCCTATCCCTTCTTGGCTAGCCAGAGGTTAGTAAGGCCTTCCCTTTCCCAGGGTTACTTTGGGGCTCTGGAGGCTAGGGACCCTCCCTTCTTCCCCCCACTGAAAAGCACCTATGAGAAGCAGTGCAGAACCCGGGCCCAAAGGGAGAAGACCCAAGCAGAGTCAGCTCTCAGCTCTTCTCCACCTGCTTACTGTCTTAAGTGATCTTGGGCAAGCCATTTGACCTCTGTGGGCCTCAATTTCCTCATCTGTCAAACGAGGGGGTTGGTACTGATAGCTAAGGTTCCTTAGGCTCTGAATTCGTGATTCTATGCTCTTTCATCGTTTAAGATCAAGGCAGTTCATACCGGTCTCTAGGCTCTTCTCTCATTTCAGTGACTATCCTTAGTTGCTTCCCCAAATTCCTTTCCTCCCCATTCCTGGTCATAATGCTTGGAGGACTCTAGAATTCATAATAAATACTGAAAACCTGACCTCTTCAACACCAACATGGTGGCAAACCGCTTATGTAAGGCATTAAGGGGTACAAATCACTTTACATATATTGCTCATTTGATCTGGTTCAGACCAGTTTAAGCCTGGCCAAAACTGGTTTAAACTAAACTGGTTCAAACTGACTAGAACCAGTTCTAACTGGTCCTGTTTTAGCTGGCTTAAACTGGTTTTAACTAGCTTAAACTGGTCTGAGCTGGGTTTAGCCTGTTCTAACTGGCCTGGATCTGTTTTAACTGGTTTGAACTGGTTATTAATTGATTTGAACTGATCTGTTTGCCTAAGAACATCGGAATTTGGACCTGGATAATATAACAGCTCACATTTCTGTAGGGTTTTCAAGTTGTTGTTTTTTTAATAATTGATTGATTTTTAGTTTTCCACATTCACTTCCATAAGCTTCTGAGTTTTAAATTTTCTCCCCTTCCCTCCCCACCTCCCTCAGTTTTCTAGTTTTTAAAGCCCTTTTCTCACCATAACCCTATGACAACGCTGGGAGGTTTTATTACAGTTTTATTTTCTGCCATTGGACCATTGAGGAAGTTGAGAAGGCCCACTGATTTTTGGCCCCTTACAGGACATTCCTGGTCTTGCACTGAAAGTAACAAGTAGACAACAGGAGGCAAAATCATATAGACAGTGGAACTGTAAACTGAAAAAGAAAGTCAGGGCTGAGGTTATCAGGGCTGAAAGTCACTGCAGATATTAGGGATGATCTAGGCCATCTCTCTCATTTTATAAAGTAGAACTGTTTATAGAAGGAAATTAAAGGCCAAAGAAATGAATTGGCTTCCCCAAGGTCACTCCACTGGCTAAGGGTCCTTTTTTTTTTTCCTTTTTTTCCTCTCACTAAATGACTGGCCAGTCTTTTTTCCCCCTCAGATAGATATTTCTCTTATGTCATCTTTTACACTACTTCTCCTGAATGGTTCCTCATTTGAAATTGATTGTAGTCTGTTCACACCCACCACAGTGTCTTTCTGTTACCTTTTGGGCAGGGGCATGTTGATTAATATTTAACAACCAGCTTGGGGGGGGGAATGTTCCCACCACACACTTTTAAGTTTAATCTGTATTGTTAACATTTTTTCCATCACTTTTAAAAGTCTAGACACAAAACAAAACAATAAATCAAGCCCTGGTTTGTAGAGTTTGCTGATTTCCTGAAGTATAAATGCTCACACTGACAGTTTAATAATCAGTTCTCTCAAGAGCTGCCTCCACCACACCCCTGCTTCTAGACGATCCTCAGTTTCTTCAAGGAATGCAGTATTCCCTGCCTCACTGTCATACATACTAGGATTGCAGTCGGGAGTAGGAATCTGTTTAATGAGATCTCTGGCCTGGGACTGGAAAAGAGCAGCCTGTTGGAAAACCCAGAATCATAGCCCAAGATAAAGGGCTGAAGTTGTCAAGCTTTGGACTTGTGAAATAGACCAGTCAATGGAAGAGGACCAGGCCTGGGAGTCGGGGAAAGGTTATCCAGAACTAAAGAGCTAAGGCTGAATTTGAGGATGGTAGGGAAGAAGGAAAAGGCTGATGTCCCAAGTCTAATTTGGAAGGGAAAAGGGGGGACACCAGGCTGTCCAAAAACATAAAAACCATATGGTCTCCCAACTGCATGGGGGAAACAGTATGATTTTTGTTGTTGGAGAAGATGATTTCTGTCCTAGGAGGAACACTCCATAGCTTTACAGTTCTATCAGACCAAGAACCTTCCTTGTTCCTTCAGGTCATGTTTCATAGTGATTTTTATTTCTTCCAGAGAAACATCTTGCTCTGAATTGCATGTTTGATCTAGGGGAAATACCAAAGCAATTGCCAATTCAGAAAAGATTGAATCTAATGGGCTAGGAGTGAGCCTGCCATTTTTCATGTTCTGTTTGCAAAATAACAAAAACTGCCAGCATGTGAAAGGGGGTGTGGTGGAGAGAGTTTCAATATGGGAATAGAATAATGCATGAACTCTGCCTGGTCTGTTATAAAGCATCAACAGTGACCCAAATGAATCCTTTACAGACAACCTCCAATCATCCCATAAAGACATTCATTCAGGGGAAAACATTTTCCATAATACTACTATGATTGCTGCACTTCAAAGGTATTTCATGTTTCCTCCCCTACATGCTTCATGAACAACATCCATCCCCATCAGATGAATAGCCCAGATGTTCACTATTCTACATCCGCCAATTCAGAGACTGTGGTACACGCTTGGGAAAAGAAGAATTTCTTTTTCTTCTAGTGAAACCAGTGGGAGAAAAAGATTATGAATGTTTCACGTGTTAACAGCCAAAAATTACAAAAGGCTTTGAAAACATATGTATTAATGGAAGCGCTGGGTATTTTTTTCAGCTAAGAGTAATGAGTACGTGTGGCATTTCTTCTGTTTGGTTAGGCTCAGTTATTTCCAAACTGTGCTGTGCAAGTGATGACCGTGATCCACGTATATTTTGATTCTGTATATTTTATTTCCTCTACCAACGTAGGTCAGCACCTTCTGCCTAGTTGCCAGTTTAGTTGCCTAAAGCAGTACAAGATCATGTGACTTGCTCAGGGTCACATAAACAGCTTGTGTCAGTGGCAGGATGCAAACCCAAGTATTTCTGCCAGCACCGTTGGTGGCTCTCCACTAGGCCACATGAACTCTAACTTTACTAATCATTTCTTGAAATTGCCTTTAACTGTCAAAAGCTGATAACCTGTCATAACACATTAAGGCTGCACCTGTTCCAAAGTACCTGAAGGCTACTGTTTATTGCCTTTATTTGACCTTTTTTTCAAATCAAATCCAGATTGTTTTGGTCCATCTGCTGCTAAATGTGGGAGTGGCTTTATGGTAAGTCAGCATCTAGGAAATGAAAAAGGGTATGCATCCAGAATATGTACGTGTCCAAATGGGATTTGTTGAAGGACATACATTTTATGGTCAACCAAGGCCTTGGCAAGACTGGAGATGAAGGATACTGTGAATTTTGCAGTCTGTGTCTTGAAGTGGGCCTCTACTAGCCATTTGGGCTCATGGGGAGGCAACAATTTGGTAGCTTTCCAGGGGACTCTTTTTCTAGGTGGGCCTAGTCCTGGAGAGCATGCCCAGAGGATTTATATGGATGTTTGCTGAGCCTGCTTCTACAATTTGTCGTAATGTGTAACAGAAAGACCTGTCTCTTCACTTCAAAGCATGCACAAATATTCTGACTATATTCTGTGTGGTGAAGGAAAGGCCTTTTGGTGGGCTGTTCTGTTAGAAGTGAGAATGCATACGAGAGGCCCCAGGAGGGGGATAGACTCTTTCTTGCCTGCTGGTCACAGGTGTAAGGATGACTTGAGCTCCAGATGACTGTTGAGGTTGGGGTGTAACCTTCTGCCACTACTCCCAACCAGGCTGACCATGACAGCATGGCCTCCTAGACAAACCTGTGTTGCTTCCTGTTTGTATCTTCTTTCCTTTGATACAGGATCTTGTGAGACTTTGAGAGGTCAGAGGAACAGAAGTCCAGTGATGGCTGCTCATATCAGAGTTTCCCAGTAGTCAAGCCCAGTATTCCAGTATAGCCCTACAGAGAGGCTCGCTTAACCCAGTCCAACATGGAATCAGCCTAGTGGTTGAGATGCTGTGTCCTGTAGCAAGGGAGTGACTTGTCCAAAGGCTATACCACATTTACAGGAGAACTTGGTGGGGCAAATACATTGCAGTAACCATTTTAAGTTTGAGCCCACCCTCCCAGGGACCAAGATGTAGACAAGAGAGTGTGCCCCAGAGAAAATCTGTACTTCTGCTCTTGCTATATCTTCTCAGTAAATATCCCCCCAAATTGAAAAAAGCTAATTGATGCTCATTGTATGATAAGATAAAGTTTGGTTCAGGCTTCTTGCTGCAACTGTGCTAAGAAAAACTGCCTTGAACTCTGTCTTGAAACTCCTGACACTTTGCTTAAATCAAGCAGGTCACATCTCCTGCTGAAGTTTGCAAAATCAAGGGATATTAACTTCAGCGCCAGTTTTGGCCACCTCGGTTCCGTAA